CGGACCTCGGCGCACGATCACGGGGGGTAATGCGTGGAGCATTAGGCCACGGAACCCATTTGCAGGAATACCCACGGGAGACCGCGACGCCACGAACCGCGCGCGATGCGCACGCGCGGACTTACTCGCCGGCCTGCACGGGCAACAGACACGTCACGAGGGGTGGAGCGAGCGGAAAGGCCCCGCCTCCATCACGGGGGGGGGGGGGCGGGCATCCCTGAGATCTTTGAGCCCTAGAGACCTCTTTTAGATCCGCCCTAGCACGATGGGGTCCCGCCCTTCCCTGTTAGACTCCACCGCTAGCCGAGCGAAGATCCGCCCCACCTTCTGCAACGCTGAGTTTTACAGGTTCCACCTTGGCCCAAACCGCTTTGATCAGACATCAGGGGTCTACCTCTAAGCAAAGTCCAGCTCTGCTGCTTTTCACTTCCTTGTTCGGACTGGGGGCACCTGGTCCCAGATAGAAGTGGTTAAAGAATCTCCTGCGGTTCCTGTGCCCTCAGTCTGTGCCACCCCGCGTTCGTGGCCTCACGTAGCCCAGTTTGTCTGGTGTTTTCTCCTTTACTTGTTGCTGTCCGCTGTTTACGCTGATCTCCGCAGGCTTTGTTTTCCAAGTGCCTCACTCCGACTCTTGGCTCAGTAAGTTCATCTAACTCACCTAAGTAAGCACACAAGGGCGGCTGCCCCTGCGTGCGTGTCTGCGTCGCGATCTCAGTTTTCTGGTGCACTGCACAGTGCCCGGAGCCCCCAAGCGGCCCTTCAGGGACTAGCCGGCACTTGGGAAGCTCAGGAGTCACCCCTGTCCTTCCAAGTCATGCTTTGCTTGGAAAGGAGGGATGGAAGATAAGGTACAGATGAAGGCTTGGGGGCGGGGAGAGCTGTGAACAGAGGCAGTCTCTAGTAGCTATAGCATCCGGCAGATACTTGCGCTATTGCACTGTTGGTCAGAATCCTCGTGTTTGTGGGAATCAAGTGCTTGGAGCTCCAAGGTTGACCAGCATATTCCGGCCTCCTTTCCCTCCCCAGGCAGTTTTCTGCCAGACCCCCATGGGGACTGGGAGGACCATGAGCCAGTTTTGTGCAGCAAGCTTCTCTTACAACAAAAGATGCTAGACTTGCCTTCACGCCGGGGTTCAGGAAAAGCCTAGACTCGTAGGACCCAAGGGGTACTCTTGTGTCCCTGAGGTCTCGAGGAGACTTTCACTGAGACCCTTTGCTTGGATTTGTTGAGGCCTAGTCTGCAAACACGGGACACCAGACAAGAAGCGACCCAGCAGGGGTGCTGGTTTAGAGGCAACAGGGAGAGGGGTAAGGTTTGAGTTTGAAGAACCAGAGTTCTTCCATTTTGTCCTCTGCTTCCATCTTGTGTCTTGTGTAAGCTATTTCCTGTAAAACTCAGAAATGGCTAGGGGCAAAAGTAACAGGGTAGCCCTCTGGAAAGTACAGATAATACAGAATATCCCCACCTGAAGGTCAGCCAATAAGTAAACTTGACAAGCAACAGAAGAGTTCTAAAATAAAATTTCTGAAAAGTCCCTAGATATGAGCCAATCAGGATTGAACCCGTCGCCCCACACCCTGCTAATGTAACTTTTCTGGTTTTTACCTTTAAATAATGCCCTCTAGAAGGGCAGGGTACCTCCTCTTGCTGCTGGTGCGTCAGTTGCTTTGACGAGGTCCCTGCCGGCGTGTAAACGTGCTCACAGTAAGCATTGCTTTTGCCGGCGTGTAAACGTGCTCACAGTAAGCATTGCTTTTGCATTTTTGGTGAGTCGGTCTCCCTGGTGGTCTTTTGGGGTCCCCACGGGCTGGGGTATAATGAAAGAGAGGTGGGGGCAGTTGACATGGCAGCAGCTGAAGTTTGACCAGTCCAGGTGATACCAGAAGGGTTAGGCTTACTTCATGGCTTCAGGCTCTGTGACTTTCCCTGGACAGCCCTGACCAAGTACATGGGCATCACCTATAAGGTTAGTAGCTGTTTCTTTTAGTGAAACATTTCCTCTGAAAAGGAAGTAAGGAATCTCTCAGGAAAACAAGGGAGCTGATGAGGGTGGGAGGGTGGTGGTGGTGAAGTCTTTTAATTCCAGCACTCAGGAGGCAAAGGAAGGCAGATCTCTGTGAGTTTGAGGCCAACCTGGTCTACAGAGTGAGTTCTGGGACAGCCAAGGATACACAAAATCTTGAAAAATCAAAACCAAGGGCTGGAGAGATGGCTTAGAGGTTAAGAGCACTGGCTGTTCTTTCAGAGATCATGAGTTCAATTCCCAGCAACTCTAAGGTGGCTCACAACCATCTCTAATGAGATCTGGTGCCCTCTTCTGGCATACAGACAGAACACTGTATACTAAATAAATAAATAAATAAATAAATCTTTAAAAAAACAAAGAATACAAGAGAACTGTTACAGGAACTCACAAGAGATTTACCGACTCTCTCCAGGTGCTATAAAGAGTAAACAGTTTCAGGGCTGGAGAGATGGCTCAGTGGTTAAGCACACTGACTGCTCTTCCAGAGGACCTGGGTTCAATTCCCAGCGTCCACATGGCAGCTAGTAACTATCTTGTTGTAACTCTAAGATCTCACACCCTCACACATACATGCAAATAAAATAAAATAAAAATTTTAAAAAAGAGTAAACAGTTTCTGGAGACAAGGAGCTGTTTCAGCAGAGTTGCCTACAGGCTGGGAATTCAAGACTTGCAGCTTCCATGACTTGTCACCAGGCTGATGTGAGCTTTTGGTGATTGATGAAGCTGCCTGGGTCACTGACACTTTTGTAAGTAACCAATCATCCATTTTAATAGTTTATTTTCTCAATGGTATGACAAATTACCTGGCAAAAGTGACTCAAAAGAGCGTGTAGTCCATGGTGGGACATCATGGCAGCAGGGATGTTAGGCAGCTTGGTCACTTGGTGTCAGCAGTTGGGAAACAGAGAGAGAGAAATGCTCAGCTCACTCCCCTCTCCCGCTTTTTCTTTGTTTATTCAAGAACCTGGAATGGTGCTGTCCACATTTAGGGGATGCCTTCCTACCTCAGTTCCAATCTAGAAACTCCCTCACGGACGTGCTCAAAGGTTTGTTTCCGTGGTGATTAGAAATCCCTTCAAGTTAGCAGTTACGATTAACCACCACACCCAAGCTTTTGTCAGTAATTCTGATAAACTCACTGGTTCATCCACAAGCTAGACTTGGAATTTTCTCTTTGATCTGTCATAGATATCCTATCTGGGGTGAACGGATGCTTGCTCATGTTCCCCAGGAAAAGCCATGCAACATCTGTGTAGTGCAGGCCAAGGGCTAGAGAGACCAGGCTGAGGAAAGGGACTGCCAGGACCCAACTGCAAAGAACTTTGGAAGAAGGACTCAGACAACTTGTACAGACCTGAGACAGGCTCAGGGGTCGGGACTCACGCTGTTCATTTATCTGCCCTAATTTGAGGGATGGTGGTTACTCAGCAGGAACACAGATGGTTCAGATGGGGGTTAGGCAATATGCATAGTACTATCCCAGAGTAGGGCTGAGGTGGAGGACAGGCAGGGGTTTGGGGTTTCTATGTGGGGAACAGGGCCTCCAGGTCTTCTACTGAGGGTGACTGACTCTCTAACCTTGTGATCTGTTTCCAGGACTGGATTATCTCTCTACTCATCAAACGGGTCCTGATGTGTGCCATGCACAACAGGAGGTCAGATTTAGTAATATGAGTGGCAGGGCTGCGTCCCCAGCACCCCAGCCGCCTGCACAGCTAGCTTATGCCCGAAATAACAACACACAAACTGTATTCATTTAAAACACTGCTTGGCCCTTTAGCTCTAGCACTTACAGGCTAATTCTCACATCCCGATCAACCCATCTCTAATAATCTGTGAGCATCGGTCTTACCGGGAAGATTCTAGCCTATGTCCATCCTGGGTCGGAGCTTCATCCCGGGAGCGGGGCATGGCGTCTCTCTCAGGCGTCTGCTCCCGAGAGGAGAGCTGTCGAGACTGAGCTCACTTCCTCTTCCTCCTGGCATTCTGTTCTGTTTACTCCACCTACCTACATCCTAACCAATAAAATGGGCCAAGGCAGTTCCTTTATTAGCCAATGACCTTCCTCCATCAGTCAGAATGCAGAGATGCAGAGAGGCATTCACGGAAGAAGCAGCTGCTGCCCTGCACAGATACGGGAAGGTCCTGAGACAGGCAGGAACTATGTACACTGGTCCATTAAGGAGGTTGGAGCCAGGTCTCACCTCCTGTTCACTGCACTCAGCATGAGGTGCCTTGACTGCTTCCCACAGGGAACAGGATGTGTGTGGCTTGTGGTCACTGACAACTTCACAACCTGTGTTGTCCTGTTCTGGGGATGTGCAGCCTCTCCAAATCTGCTCAGTGGGTCTAGGTTGTGACCCACCTGGGGCCTTTCTGGATGTCTTAGGGCTAGAAGGTTTGGAGGTGCAGTCTTCTCCTGGGGTTGGACAGGTTAAGACTATAGAAGAGCTATGCCTGTTTCTCCGCTATAGGAGTCTCTTGGGAGCAGTTTGTGGTCTAAGGTGTAGCGTGTGGATCAGCACCTGAGAAAGGAGAGAAAAGGGACCGTGAGAAATTCCCACGTTGGGCTAACTAGGCGCCTCACTTGGATGGATGTGGCTGGGGGAGGCTTCATTGGGGAGACTGACAATGGGGACCATCTGCAGATTATCCCCAGCTTGGCCTTAAGGCTGCTGTCTCTCCCAGGCCACCCTTGGCTGTGCTCTGGGCCTGCCTAATCATCTCCCCTGTCAGCACCTGTAGTAGAGTCTGAAGTGAGTCTCTTTCATCTGTCTGTCCCTATGCGTGTGTGTCTCTCCCTCTCCTTCCCCCACCCTCTCCCTCTGTATCTAAGATGAAGTCTCACTCTGCTATCCAGGCTGGCTCTAGACCTTTGGGCTTAAGTGATCCTCCTGCTTCAGCCTCGCAAGCGCAGAAGTCCCAGGCATGCACCACGGTGCCAACTTTGGGATATTCCTTATTTTTCCTTGTAACTAGGAATGCTTCATGAATTTGCATGGCATCCTTGTGCAGGGACCATGTTAATCTCTGTGTCATTCCAGTTTCAATATATGTGACGCCATAGGGAGCATGGGATATTCTTTCTTTAAAGTGGAAAAATACAACCTGGCAAGTACAGCCACTTGTCTTGCAAACTCAGTAACCTGAGTTAGGTCTTTGGAACCCTCATAAAGGTGAATGGAGAGAAATGACTCCATGAAATTGTCTTTTGACCTCTACACATTCTAGTTAGTGTGGGGCAAGGAACTGTAGGGCTTGGTCCTCAGCTACCCAGCCTCTGTGCAGCTTGCTATGACCTCAGGGTAGACACCTAGCCCTTTCTTATCTCCTCTGACGTGCCTAGTGAGGCCAGTTACATCACTGTCAAACTCCAGCTGCTGACCTGTCTCTGGGTCATGGTTCATCTTGGAAATCCAGGCTTAGGAGCCCTGAAGTGTGGCCTCTCCCTGGCTACTTGATCTGGCTGGCAGCTGACTTGCGATTTCACGTCTACTATGAATTACAACAGGCGGAGTGGATGCCAGCCAACTAAAAAGGGTGAGGTCAGAGAAGACCCGCCTTTCTCTGCTTGGTGGATTTTGGAGGCCTCAGCGTCTGCAAGGCTTAGGTACTAGGCCAAGATAGAGGAGAATGAAAGGATATGAATTTTGGTCTCTAGCTATGGGAAACAAGGGCAGAGAACTATGTGTATGTGAGTCCACTGTTGGCTTGCTGCACAGAGCCTGGTTCGGTCCGGATTGCCGCTTGGATGCTGTCTTTGTACAGATGGTGCTGGTGGGCACGTGTCTGATGGCCCAAGTGGATGATGACCAAGATTTCACACTTAGTGGAAAGGAAAGGTGTTCAGAGTCTGTGTTATAATGTCTACCTGCCATCCCCCACTCCTTGCTGTGGGACATTCCTTCTGTACACTGTGAGTAGGTATTACCCTCATTGGTCAATAATAAAACTGGTTGTCCTAAAGCAAGGCAGGATAAAGTTAGGTGGGAAAATAAAACCGAGGACTCGGATGAAGAAAGGGGAGTCAGGAGAGGAGCCAGCGAGCCCCCCAAGGAACAAAATACAAGAGGATAGGTAAAGCCACAAGTCACAAGTTCTATTAATACAGAGATTAATAGAAATGGGTTAATTTAAATGTAAGAGCTAGTCAGTAATAAATCTGAGGTATTGGCCGAGCATCTTATGATTAATATAAGCTTCTGTGTGTTTATTTGGGACCAGGAGGTCAAGACAGAAAAGCTTTGCCAACGCTTACAACTCCTGAGCCTTATTCCTCTCTCACAGGTAGGTGCATAGGATTGGCTACTCCTGAGCAATGGGAACGGAACCCATGTTTGCTACCTGTACTCCACTCCAGCCATAGGCATCTGAGGTAGAAGTGGGAGCTCTGCCAAAGACTGAGACAGGACCAGGGTCCTTGGGACTTCTTGGTCTACTCTTGGGGAACGCTGTTTTCACAGTGCCCCAGCCCCAACACCTTTGCCAATGGCAGGACCTGGTACCATCTAGATGATGTCACTACTGCAGAAGAAAATAAAATGACTAATGTTTAATAAAATGACTAATGTTTAATAAAGCCTTACAATATAGGTGGTAGTTTATGTGGCCAGAAACTTTCTATTCCCTTAACTTCCTTTTGGTAAAATGCAAAAGTATCTTAGTTATAGGATGGACTATCTTGAGGTTAGGAAATTTCCTATACATTCTAAGATCTGTGCCTGGTACATGGTATGTGTTAAGTAGAAGCTAGATTATAGATGGAGTAATCATACAGAAACTATATTATTTACAGCACTGTTTGTCCAGTGGCTCAGAAATATTCCTAGCTAGCTCTTCCATCCTAAATTAACCCACAGTTCCTGTCTATATTTAGCCACATGGCTTGGTAACTTTTCTCAGTGAGGCATTCTCATCTTGCTTCCTGTGTATCTGGCTGGTGACTGACTTTCTGCCTTTCCCCTTCCCAGAATTCTTTTAGTCTGGTTGCCCTGCCTATACATCCTGCCTGGCTACTGGCCAGTCAGCATTTTATTAAACCGATATGAGTGACAAATCTTTACAGTGTATAAGAGCATTCTCCCACAACACTAGATATTGGGTAGGGGAAGTAGCTCAGTGTTGGAGTGCTTGCCAAAGGCCCTGGATTCAATCTCTAGAAATACACACGAGCACACATACAGAGAGGTAGCATACATTGTAAATCAGAGCACTCAAGAGGCTGAGGCAAGAGGATTACAGAGTGAGATCCTGTCTTAAAGAACAAAACAAGGCAAATATGATATTGTCATGGTTCACAATGTTTTGTCTTTGTTTTTCTTTTCTTTTCTTTTTTTTTTTTAATTTTTTTTTTTTTCGAGACAGGGTTTCTCTGTGGTTTTGGAGCCTGTCCTGGAACTAGCTCTTGTAGACCAGGCTGGTCTCGAACTCACAGAGATCCGCCTGCCTCTGCCTCCCGAGTGCTGGGATTAAAGGCGTGCGCCACCACCGCCCGGCTTTGTCTTTGTTTTTCATTTGCTGGCTAGGTGAAGTATGCAGGATAGTGCACCTGTCCATCTCTGGGTTCCTCGCAGCTAAGTAGAATCTGTCATGTAATAGTCCTTAAGTAGAGTAGAATACAGGCGGCAACCACAGGTGCCACCCCCCTTACCGAACAGTGGCCAGGCCTGGGAAGTCAAATGCCTTTCACAAGTCACCGTCATCAACTGTTTGTGAGAAAAGGACCAGGCTCATGAGTAGCAGGTGGCAGGCAGGCATTTCAATACAAGCTTAGAGCCCTTCCGTTCTACCCATCCTTCTGGAACCTTAGGCTCGTCCACTTGGACCATGTGGATAACAGTGTAAAATAGAGTCAATACTAAAATTATACAATTTAATGTGAAGCTCTACAACTTCCCTTCTGGATGCATTTTATTTTCTTTCTTTCTTTCTTCCTTCCTTCCTTTTTTTTTTTTTTTTTTTTTTTTTTTTTTAGTTTTTCTTCACTGTGTAGCCCTGGCTATCCTGGAACTTGCTCAGAAATCTACCTGCCTTTGCCACCAGTGCCCAGCCACCAAATTTACTTTTAAACTGTATAGAAATTCACGTAGACTTTGAGTCTTTATTCAAATAAAGATTGATTTGATGATTCAAATAAAGGTTGATTTTGATGTGTCATGCTTTAATTTATTTGCAAGGTTTTTCAGCAATAAAGTTTATAAAATAAAAAATAAATATTGCAGAATTATATTAAAGATTTTCAGGGGTTGAGGAGATGGCTTAGTGAATATAGTACTTGCAACATAAGCCTGAGGACCAGGGTTTGGATCTCTAGGACACTGTGGTACCCTGCCTGCAGGATATGGAAACAGTATCCTCAGAGCAAGCTGGCTAGCTACACTATCTTGAATGGGCAAACTCTGGTTTTAAGCGAGACACCCTGCTTCAAAACATAAGGTGGGAATGATAAAGGAAGACATCTACATCAACGTCTGAACTTGCAGATACAGCCATAACTAGTGCACACACACACACACACACACACACACACCCCTGTACCCACACAATGCTAACATGTATTCAAATATGTGTGTGTGGTTTAGAGTTTTTATTGTGGTGAAGAGACACTGTGACCATGGCAACTCAAGAGAGGGTTTCTCTGTGTAGCTTTGGAGCCTGTCATGGAACTCACTCTGTAGACCAGGCTGGCCTCAAACTCACAGTGATCCAGCTGCCTCTGTCTCCAGAGTGCTGAGATTAAAGGCGTGCGCCACCACAGTCCGGCTGATTTCATTTATTTATTTATTTATTTGGTCCCACAGCAACTCTCGTAAAGGAAAACATTTAATTGTAGTGGCTGGCTTCCAGTTCAGAGGTTTAGTCCATTATCATCATGGCAGGAAGCAGGGCACCATGCAGGCAGACATGGTGCTGGAGAAGGAGCTGAGAGTTCTTCCATTTTGACTCACAGGCAACAGGAAGTGTCTGAAACACTGGGTGTGGCCTAAGCATATATGAGACCTCAAAGCCCTCCTCCACAGTGACACACCTCCTCCAACAAGGCCACACACACTCCAATAAAGTCATCTCTCCTAATAGTGCCACTCTCTTTGGGGGTATTTTCTTTCAAACCACCACAGTGTGTGAGCATATACACACATATCCATCCATACACACATACACCACATACACATATACTTACAAAAATTATTTCCAGTCTTTTTGGCTGTGAAATCCATAAACCATGATCCTGAAATACAGTGGTTAACCTGGGCAAGGCTGTCCCAAGCATCTACTTCAGTGTTCGAGATTCTTTCGTTTCTTTCTTCCTTCTTCTGAGACAGGATCTCGTGTAGCCCAGGCTAGCCTCTAACTTGTTCTATAGCCAAGGATGGCCTTGAACTCCTGTTCTTTCCACCTCCACCTCTGAGTGCTGGGGTTATGTGCCACCACATAGTCTAGTGCTCTGGATTTCAACCAAAGATGTTTATTCATCGAAAACGCTAAACGACAGGATAAAATCTTTGGATTTTATTTTGCTAACTCAGCAGAAAAGAACCAGGAAAATTCAGTTTACACAGGAAGTGACAAGCAGCAAACACTAGCTCTGAGACTACACAGATGCTGGAATTATCTCACAAGGACTTTAAAACAATAATTGTAAAAAAATGCATCAACAAGCAACTCTGAACACTTATAAAATAACAGAAAAGGAGTGAGGGCTGGATGATCAATGTCAGTTCATGACAATGCTCTCCACAGGGAGTACCAGGAAGGAACATCTTCATCAAGTAAGGACTGTGGAAAAACTTTTGCAGGTTGGGACTCTTCTCTCTTACCACAGTTATTCCATACCCACAAGAAGTCCTAGCCAGAAAAATAAAACAAGGAAACAAGAAGCATGCCGATTGTAAACGGAGGTGTGAAACTATCTCTATTAACAGGCAACGGATGCGATTCTTTTTGTAGAGGATCTCAAGGAATCTATGAAGGAGACATTTGGACAAATATATATATGAAGGCAGCAAGATTGTAAGACGTAAATCAACACACAGAAACCAACGTGCTTATAGCTACCAGAAGCATCTAGTTAA